AAATGCTGGATTAAAATATTTAATAAACAAAAAATGTTTACGTTCGTTTTGTTATTAAAAATAAACGTTTTTTGCAAAATAAAAATGAACTTTGTTTGCATATACAAATATAAAAAAATACATGTCGAATGTAAATAAAATCTAAGTGCAGAACTCTCTGTGGGGGGTCAGGCGATGATTTGGTGTTGTATCGGTGTTATGAACTGGAGCACCATTAGTTGCTTTTTTTTAATCGTATTTAATCCAAACAAGGCAGGAAAGCCACTAAGACATAAGGGGTTAATGAGTTTGAAACAATTAGCAAACAGAAGCATAACTAAGGAACGAGAGCAATAGCAGAGTAATCAAGTAGATAACGATGGACATTACATTTAATTTTTTAAAGATCAAAATTGGCTGTAAAGCATGGAATTGGAAGAGTGTTCCACAAGTGAGAAGTGAGTGAGAACAATAGAAGAGTAATCAGGAAGACAGTAGATAACGATTGACATTGCATTTAAATTTTTGAAGATCAAAATTGGCTGTAAAGGATGGAGTTGGAAGAGAGTTCCACAAGTGAGAAGTGAGCGAGAACAATAGAAGAGTAATCAGGAAGACAGCAGAAAACGATTGACATTGCATTTAAATTTTTAAAGATCAAAGTTGGTTGTAAAGCATGGAGTTGGAAGAGTGTTCCACAAGTGAGAAGTAAGCGAGAACAATAGAAGAGTAATCAGGAAGACACTAGATAACGATTGACATTGCATTTAAATTTTTGAAGATCAAAGTTGGTTGTAAAGCATGGAATTGGAAGAGTGTTCCACAAGTGAGAAGTGAGTGAGAACAATAGAAGAGTAATCAGGAAGACAGTAGATAACGATTGACATTGCATTTAAATTTTTAAAGATCAAAGTTGGCAGTAAATCATGGAGTTGGAAGAGTGTTCTACGAGTGAGAAGTGAGCGAGAACAATAGAAGAGTAATCAGGAAGACAGTAGATAACGATTGACAATGCATTTAAATTTTTGAAGATCAAAGTTGGCTGTAAAGCATGGAATTGGAAGAGTGTTCCACAAGTAAGAAGTGAGTGAGAACAATAGAAGAGTAATCAGGAAGGCAGTAGATAACGATTGACATTGTATTTAAATTTTTAAAGATCAAAGTTGGTTGTAAAGCATGGAGTTGGAAGAGTGTTCCACAAGTGAGAAGTGAGCGAGAACAATAGAAGAGTAATCAGGAAGACAGTAGATAACGATTGACATTGTATTTAAATTTTTAAAGATCAAAGTTGGCAGTAAATCATGGAGTTGGAAGAGTGTTCTACGAGTGAGAAGTGAGCGAGAACAATAGAAGACTAATCAGGAAGACAGTAGATAACGATTGACAATGCATTTAAATTTTTGAAGATCAAAGTTGGCTGTAAAGCATGGAATTGGAAGAGTGTTCCACAAGTGAGAAGTGAGTGAGAACAATAGAAGAGTAATCAGGAAGACAGTAGATAACGATTGACATTGCATTTTAAATTTTTAAAGATCAAAGTTGACTGTAAAGCATGGGGTTGGAAGAGTGTTCCACAAGGAAGAAGTGAGTGAGAACAATAAAAGAATAAGCAGGAAGACAGTAGATAACGATTGACATTGCATTTTAAATTTTGAAGATCAAAATTGGCTGTAAAGCATGGAGTTGGGAGAGTGTTCCACAAGCGAGAAGTGAGTGAGAACAATAGAAGAGTAATCGGGAAGACAGTAGATAACGATTGGCATTGCATTTAAATTTCTAAAAAAGAATTATCCGAACCTACGTAACAGCCGCTTTCTCAGATGCAGGTTTAAATCTCATCGATCGAATGAACCCTGTTCGTCTTATCGAGTAACATCTTTCTTTAAACCTCGTGGACTGGCGCTGCACAATCACAAACAGATAAATGTACCAAATAAAAGAAACTTCAACATTTGAGAACTTTCAAGAGCAGCAACAACTGAAAAGGATAGTACATGTCACTAGAATAGGAAATACTACACGAAACAATTCTTTCTCTCCAAAATACTTCGAACAAAAGGTAGAGAAGAAAGGATCATTAAGAGCGATAAATATTAGTGGACTTGAGAAATCTATTTACCTGGGCAAACAATTGTAGCGAAAAAGATCATTAGAAATTTTACCTGACAGTAATGCTAAACCTTCGGTCAACGACTACCGAATGTTTTTGTATGAATCCCATAATTCCCACCATTATTCAGGGATACCTAAGTATAGATCATTTTTATTTGTACGATCACCGAAGTTAAGCAATGTTGAGCCTGGTCATTATATAGATGTGTCACTGCTTGGGTATACCAGGTGTTGTAAGCTTGGATGTGCGGGTGGTGTAATGGATAATTCCATACAATTTTTAAACGGAGTGCCGTGTTCTAATTATCGTTAAGTTCTTTACATTAACTTACGAGGGAATACTATTGGGAAATGTATGAATCCACCTCTTATCTCCCCACCCACCACTTATCAATTAATTATTAAGACTTGTATCATTAAAACCATTATAATCCGCACCCCACACACAAAAAATATTAAAATCTAAAAATATTTTCTGGCTTTAAATAACCTGGAAAAATGTAGGTAAGCCGTAAAAATGAATCATTTTAGACGCAAATTCTGGTTTGTTTTGTTTTACGGCAACCACTATAATTTGTTATTTTATGCCGACAATTTTTATTGTTGGTAAAATTTACCTTAAAAAATGTATCGCTGGTAATATTTTTTTTCAAAAAATGTATAACTGATATTTTTTTTTCAAAAATGTACAACAGGTAATAATGTATTACTGGGAATAATTTTTCATCAAAGTTTATTACTGTTATTAAAACCTATTTTACACGTTCATAGTATTTTGACCCCAGTTTGGGGATCATCTATTTGCCCATAGTTGGGACCCTAACAGGTGCTACCACTCTGAGTCAGGGTGGACCTGGGAACACCAGCAATTAAGTGATGGGTTCAAGAACCTCAAAACCTCCTGATCAGAAGCCTTGCTGTTGGATGTATTTTATCGTCTTACCCAGGACGCGGATGCAGTTTATCATCATACGGACATAAATTCTGCTCGTTTATATTTAAATCTTTAAACATTTATTTGGTTCTGTAATAAATAAATATTGGTTTTTATATTAAAGTCTAAATGCATTTAGTCGGTATTGCTTTCGGTGTCGTCACTGTCTTTTTTCTTCCAGACCCCAACGTCACATTATAGACTGCATCAAAGAAAGACGGGTTCTTTTTTTTTTCTTATTCGTTTTATTAATTCGTGAGGGACAGACGTGGTAGTATCGATTCCAGGTGGTTTAGGGAGGAAGAACTTCAAGGGAACGCATGTCCAGTCGTTTGCTTAGCATTCCGCCACGTGCGGCACTAGACTCTCTAAGCAATCTCTTGCGGAAAATGTGTCAATTTAAAAATCTTCAACCATCAACCGACTTCGCACCGTTTTGGTCAGAATTCAAAATCGGAGAACCGACTTTCAATTCTAATCGGAATTCGTTATATTCACTTACGCGCATATATCCTTGCGAAAGGGATAAATCCACCTCTTTTCCCTCAGCTATGGGTTAAATAGCAAGATTTGTATCAGCAAATCGTTATTATCGACTCAAACGTTTTTTTTCAATCTAAAATATTTTCTTCATTTAAATAACCTGCAAAAGTTTGATAAGCCGTAAAAATACCAAAATCATTCTGTTAATGGACATCGAGAATGTAAAATAAAAAAAAAACTTAAGTTACGAAATGCAACGTTTAAAGAAGCTCTAATCTCTGCAAAAAAACATAATTCCTGGTCGAACGCTTGAATCTGCTATTTTTGATGTTCTTGTTCATATATATATATATATATATATATATATATATATATATATATATATATATATATATATATATATAATATTAGTGGTTAATATACACATAAATATGCAAAATATATAAATATATATACATAGGTGCATACACATATATGTATATTTTTTAAATAAAAAATTCCAAGATGATAGAATCCAGGTAGAATTCAATGTCCAGGACAGAGTAAGGATATAATAAAAAGGTTTAAACACTATATATATATATATATATATATATATATATATATATATATATATATATATATATATATATAATATTAGTGGTAAATATACACATAAATATGCAAAATATATAAATATATATACATAGGTGCATACACATACATGTATATTTTTTGAATAAAAATTCCAAGAGGATAGAATCCAGGTAGAATTCAATGTCCAGGACAGAGTAAGGATATAATAAAAAGGTTTAAACACTAATATACCATGGCCATAATTTATTCCATTGGAATCGTAAATACGATCCAATTCATCAGACCTGCAAATTCTAAAAGAAAACAGAAAATACCAATTCCGGAGATAAAAATAGAATTTAGAGAGAGTGTAAGTATGAAAGTGTGGGACGAATGTTAGTGTTAAAGAGAGGGGTAACAGACGAGAGAAGGTGGGAGATTAAAACTTAACAGAGAGGGGTTTTTTTTTTTAACTTCAATTTTAGTTTCCTCCGTCCCATCTCTCTCACCCACATCTTTCCTTTTCTCTCCCTCCCTCTTATTCTGATCTTTAACATTAGATCGTCTATGGTGTGTGTATGTCACCACGAAATGTATCTTTAATGTATTTGACATCCGACAACATTCATATTCCCCCCTTCCACTCACCTCTATTTAAAAAAAAAAAAAAATTTATTTTTATATATATATATATATATATATATATATATATATATATATATATATATATATATATAGAGAGAGAGAGAGAGAGAGAGAGAGAGAGAGAGAGACGCTCACCCTCATTAAATTCGTTCTGCCGTGTGCAATGAAACGAGTGTTTGCTGTTTCCGGTTAGTTTTAGCGTGCAGAGTTCAATCTTTATCAAGAGAATTAATAAAAGCCTCCTCTGTTAGTGTATATTTATGTATTAATATAAAAAAATAAACGGGAAAAATTAAGTAATATTTGTTTTTGTTTCGAAACAAACAAAGAATGAGTGAAAGAAAGAAGAAAAGAAAGCAAGAAAGCAAGAAAGAAAGAAGGAAAGAAAGAAAGAAAGAAAGAAAGAAAGAAAGAAAAGGACAAAAAACGAAGAAAAGATATGCGCTGTATATCAAGAATTAGAAAAAAGTAGAAAATATGAAAAATTGAGAAAGAGAGATGTAAAAAAAAACAAGGAAGAAATAAATAAAAAAGCTAGGAAGAAGAAAATAAGGTTAGAAATGAAATGAATAATGAAAGAAAAAAGAAAGAAGGAAATAAAGAAGTTGAAAGCCCGAGATCTGTAAATCAAGAATGAAAGAAGAAAATGGAGATAAAAAGCGAAAAAATGAAAAACAGAAAAGAATAGGAAGAAAGGAATAGAGAGAAAAAGAAGAAAAAAAAGAAAGGCGAACAAGGAAAAGAAAAGGAGAAATGTGAAAAGAAAAGTAAAGAAAGGAAGAGAGAAAAAAAGAAAGAAAGAAACGGATAAAAAGAAATCAAGTAAGTAAGGAAAATAAAAAAGACAAAAACAAAAAAAGTTGAAAATCAAGAATGAAAGAAGAAAAAAAGACGGAGAAATAGAGAGAGGTAAGGATGCAGGCAAATAAAGAAAGAAAGAATGAATGATAAAAAGAAAAAGAAAGAAAAGGAAAGCAAGAAAGAACGAGAGGAGAGAATGGGAAAGAGAAAGAGAGAAAGAGAAAATGAGAACGGAAAGAAAGAAAGAAAAAAAGAAAGAAAGAAAGAAAGAGAGATAGAGAAAAGAAAAGAAGAGAGTGAAAAGAAAGAAAGAAAGAAAGAAAGAAAGAAAGAAAGAGCGATAATAATGAAAAAGATAGGAAAAGAAATGCAGAGAGAAAAAAGGTGAAGAGAACGGAAAGAAAGAAAAAAGAATGAAAGATAAAAATGAAAAAGTAAGAAATGGAGAGCAAGAAAGGAAGAAAGATAAAGAAAAGAAAAGAAGAGAGTGAAAAGAAAGAAAGAAAGAAAAAAGAAAGAAAGAAAGAAAGAAAGAAAGCTAAGGAGGGAAACATGTAATAGAAAGAAAGAAAGACCATACAGACAGAAAGAAAGAAAGAAAGAAAGAAAGAAAGAAAGAAAGAAAGAAAGAAAGAGCGATAATAAGGAAAAGATAGGAAAAGAAATGCAGAGAGAAAAAAGATGAAGAGAAAGAAAGAAAGAAAAAACTGAGAAAACCGCTCTAAAAAGAATAGAAATAAAAGTAAAGAAAAAAATGGCAGAAACGAAAGATAAAGAAATATGCGTTGTCGTCAAAGTTAAATATGCAAAGAAATGATTCAATAGACAAAAACGTACACATAATCTCGTTCATACAACGAAGAAAACTGAAATAAGCATAGAGGAATGCTGGGAAATGTGGAGGAGGATTTGAAAGAAACAT